CTTTTTACACAGCGATTTTATATCTGGTTCAAGCTTAGTTAGCTTAAGTCTCAAATCTCCACGTTGTGTTATATCCAGACGATTTCTTTTTTTAATCAACAAATCACTCACAGCACTAAAGCCACATTCAGCTAGATATGAAGATAGGAACGGTAATAAGAGTTTTCTTGCACATTTTGTGGTATTGGGGTATTTAGCCTCTGTTTCATCGCAAAGCCATGCCATCGCATCTTTAATATTAAATAGAGTTATTACAGATTCGTCACTTTGCAACTCCGCGAGTTCTTCTTGATATTGCAGATTGGATATATCAGCTAAATCCACCAAAACTGGTTGCACCATCCATGTCGGAAAATTCATTTCTTTGAAATCAGCAAATCTCTCTTTAAAAACTGTAATTAATTGTTTCACAGGATGTACAAAATCAAATAAAAAATACGGAAAATGATGTAAGTATAGTCTTCAAACATATTTATGACCTATCTGCAATGGAATTTATGATTTAACTTTCATGTTTTTGATCATTGTCAAGGATTAAATATTAAAACTTTACAATAATATATATTTATAGTTTGTTATAAGCAACATAGAACATACAAAATTTGATTCTTTCTATTATCATAATAAATAAGACTAACAGTAATTACATGATTGACTAAACAGTATAGTTGTGTACATGTAAATAAAACTTTAGAAGTTAAATATTCATCCAACTGTTAAATTTTTAAATTTACAAATTAATAAACTCTAATGTTTTTGATCATTGTCAAGGATTAAATATTAAAACTTTACAATAATATATATTTATAGTTTATTATAAGCAACATAGAACATACAAAATTTGATTCTTTCTATTATCATAATGAATAAGACTAACAGTAATTACATGATTGACTAAACAGTATAGTTTTGTACATGTAAATAAAACTTTAGAAGTTAAATATTCATCCAACTGTTAAATTTTTAAATTTACAAATTAATAAACTTTAAATGTAATTTAAAAAAATTTTTTTTTNGCAGATGTCATTCCGGTGATACATGCTTCCATTGCTGGATGCCGCATTGTCGGACGTCTTTCTGTGGGTAAGTTATGTATAATTTAATAATGTAAATGTGTTATTATCTCGACAATTTCTATCAAATTATTTATGTAACAAAATTTATGAAATAAAGCTGGGTATATTGTATAAAAATATTTAATTCTTAAAAGTTTCACATCGGTATTTTCAACAAAATGTATAATCTAGGATTTGATTCCCCAAGGGTCGACGTTTGTTCTATTTGTCTTCAACTAGATGAATAAATAAAACATGTGGGCGTAGCAAAGTAAAAGCTTATGACAGAAAAACGTATTCATAAGTTGCGAGCTAAGGCTTTTTACACGGCACTATAGAGCACCGACCCTAAAATTCTGACTTTAACTTTTGACTGTCAAAACGCATGAAGCAATTTCGTTAGCCTTTCGAAAACTCATTTTCAGTCAAAATGTAAGCTTACACATTATCAGGGGTCAATTTACTTTTTAAATTTTCCCTTACCACAGTGAAATTGTTTAGATAAATTTTTCTACTATTGTAGGTGGCTTGGTCGGGCAGCTTCGACAATGGCAAATTCTTTTGACGAATTTGCCATTGCCGAAGCTGCCCGACTAAGTCACCTATATGTATAGCCCTGATCTAGCGGTAGGGACTACCACTTGTCCCTCCAATTGAAAAGGCAGTCATCGTTATGACGATGTCAAAACGCCTTGCTGCAGTGGTTGGCAAATCAGGCGGCAGGTTTCTATGAGGATGGAATTCGAAAGCTGGTTGTACGATATGAAAAGTGGTTTCATATTAGAGGAAATTATGTTGAAAAGTATATTAAGATACAAGCTTTCATGTAAGAATAAAATTATTTAAAAAATTGCAGTTGTGTTTTTTAATATCAAAACGATACTTACTTCAAAAACACGCCTCGTATTTTCTCCTTTTGCTTTTTGAACAGGAATTAATCCTAAAGAACCAGTGGTGATTTGTTGTTTTAAATTACTAAAAAATATTACTAAAAGACACAAATATTTCTGAGTTAAAACTTCAGTTGACTCAGTCATAATAATTAGATACCTTTTATCTCTTAAGTCTTCAATAAGTTCAGATTTCAAAACAGGTGAAATTACAATTTTCAGCAGAAGTAGGCATTTAGTTCTGTTCAATTTGATCTTGCCTAGAGTACTTCCACACCCATGTCTCACAATAATCTCACCAAGGTAATCGATTGTTCTTTTTGCACTATGGCAGGCTATACTTACTGAAAGCTGTAACTCGGCTTCCTTAACTTTATCATCAACTGTCTTGCTGGTTTTTTTGACAGGAATAACCGTTTGATATGCAGATGGAGTATTTTTCTTGTGTTTGTCTGATTTGTCATGGTTTGAAAGATTGGATAATCTTAGGACTATGGTACACCTACATAATTTGCAATGTGCGGATTCAGAACCATCGGTTGCTTTTTTAATCCAAAGAAATTTATCCTTCTATTTATCATTACACTGTATTTTCTGTCATTGTCATATGTCGATTTCCACTTAGGCATAATTATAAATGAAAATAAAAAATAAAATAACTTTGAGAACGATTTATAATCACTTTAGGTATAGCGTAGGTGAATAGTTACTAGGTAGGCATGCAGTGGCCGGATAGCCGAGCGGTCAAGGTGGCAGCCTACTGCTCTGGGGGACCCGGATTCGAATCCGAACAGGTCGAAAAAATCCCCAGGAATTTTTCGGGAGTGGTCCGTTCAGATATGTCGGGCCCCGTCCCTCACCACCCGGCAGCCCCATTGTGGGACTGACCGAACCCATAATGGGCTTGTAAAAAGAGGCCGTCTTAGTCCCCACAGGGCGGAAAGAGTTAAAAAAAAAAAGAAAAAAAAAAGGTAGGCATGCAGAGTGATGAGTAGCGAAATTTCTTATTTTCCTGTTGCCAGATTAAAATATATAAAAACCAAACAAAATTTTTGACGCCAATCAGACTGAAAAAAGCCAATTTGGCAACTCTGAGTCCTTCTCAACCACAGCAATAGTGCTCTCTCCGGAAATATAAATAAATAAAAAAAAATAATAATAATAATTTGCTAGCGCTTAATAATTTTGTAAATTAATTTTTTAAAGTTAAAATTTTAATAGCGTTTACATATAACATATATTAAATAAAAATTTTTCAGAAAATTTATAGTAATATTTCATAATATCTTGCAATTTAAAAGAGGGCGCATTTACGATTTTAGACGTTTCAGAGGGGATTGCAATAATCGACACGAGGCTTGTTGTATCACTGTAACCAATAGGCTTAAATATTTCTCTATCCGTAATTATTAATCTTTCTTTTCTGGATTATATTTAAATAAGTAATTATGGCAGTCCGTGCTCAGTTCGAAAATAATAATGAAGTTGGTGTTTTTTCTAAATTGACCAATACTTATTGTTTGGTTGCGATCGGCGGTTCCGAAAATTTTTACAGGTAATTTAAAAAAAATAAATCAAATATTTTTGGACTTAAATCAATTTCAAACCGAAAACTTTGAGTTATTTATGTTTAATTGGTGAAATGATAAAACTATTGAAATACATTCTGATTATGCATAAAGTGATGAACTATAAATTTGCTTTTATTAATAGTGTTTTTGAAGGAGAATTGGCAGATGTCATTCCGGTGATACATGCTTCCATTGCTGGATGCCGCATTGTCGGACGTCTTTCTGTGGGTAAGTTATGTATAATTTAATAATGTAAATGTGATAAAATTGCAGCTTTGAATGAGATGGTTTGGACTTTGTCGAAGATCATCCATTTTTTATTCCTACAAGCACGATCTATAGATTGTGCTTGTAAGAATAAAAAAGTCAAAAGGAACCAATGATCTACATGTGACCCTTTGCAATATATTGCTCGTCAAACAGATATAGTGCCAACCATTGAGAAATATCTGTTTTTTTTTTTTTTTTTTTTTTCACTTTTAAATTTTAATCCATTTTTGAGGGTCTTCAGAGTTCTAGATAGGCTGATTTTGGTGGATTATATCTTGTGAAAGGTCATGTGCATACCATTGGTTTTTTTGACTTTTACTTTCTCTCTGTTATATATAAGAGCCAGGAAAGTATGGTGATCAGTCAAAAAATGATTCCCAGATTTTTACATTTTTGACTAGGGACCTTGAAATGTTGAGAAATGCAAAAAAGTTTGGGGATAATTTCTGTATGTATGGATGTTAATGTGTGTGTGTGGGGGATACAATCTTGTTCAAAGCTTAATAACTCCTGGGCTTTGTATCAAAAATTTCTGAGATTTTGCAGGGAGGTTTGTTTATTAGGATTATCAATGTTAAATTTTGGTGATTATCTCCCCCACTCTCTTCAGCTTTAAAGGGAGTTGTGCGTATCTCCAGTAGGTTTGGACTTAATGACAATTTTACTTGCTATTAGCATTTACAATTTTTTATAAAACCCATCTCTACTCTCAAAATTAAGCTTTTTGCCATTTTATAATTCTTAAAAACTTAAAAAGTTTTTAATAATAAAATATCATAACAGATGGCACCACACATGCAGCTTTAAATGTGGCTGGGAAAATTAAGCAACTCATTGCTGGATTTTTCTTAGTAATTTAATTCGATAAATTTGAGATATGTATGTGTAAAAAAAAAAAGATATTTGGAACTGAATATGAATTTGCTCTTGCATACTGGATCTATTATCAATTATGATATCTTGAGATTTCATCCAAACTCTTCGTTTGGTATGTAAATAGCATAGAATTAATATATAACCAAACAGATTGTGCTATTCTCAATAATCATCATAAAATATATATAAATGGATGATCTCTACTCTGGCAGCCTAGTGCTACACTGCATATGAGAAACATTATGGAAGATCATTCATGTTCAGCTGTTGAACACAGTCAACTTCAGGTTTTGCAATTTCAGAATGGGTCATATTCAGCAGTAACACTTGCATCTCTTAAGGTCCTTATCTCTTTTGTGCACTTACTCTGAATATAAATGACAATAAAATACAGGCATACCAGGTTAATATTACTTCTTGTAACAAAGTCTGCAATTTTAAGCCCCATTTAATGTAAAAATATTAAAATTTGAAGGCCAATATCCAATTTGATTGCCTAACAATGGTGGCTCATCAAGAATTCCAAGTTTTAGGTGTGTTTGTTTCAACAGTTTGGTGTGTCATTAGAGTAATTTAGTTGTTGCTTATACTTTGTAAGGTGTGTTTTAGTGAGGTGTACTGCAGTAAATGAAGTATGAAGGAAAGAATAAGTTGTACTAGAAGAAGAAAATAACATTCAGTAGATTAGAAATGACGTTATCCAGAGAGTTCAATCAACAGGTTTTAAAAATGTGAACGAAGAGGATGTAAGAGAATGGAAAGTTTTGCATTAAATGCAAAAGTTTCCATTCTCTTACATTTTTCAGTGGAAGATTTAGAAAATGTTTTAACAATGTAGCTAAAAAAAAAAGGTGAAATTAAAGAAGTCCCTTCTGAAAAAGTGTTTGCAACCAAAGATTTAAAAAGGTGTTTGAATGACATTGAAAATGATCATGATTTAGGAAGAAATATTATTGTTAAGCAATCAGTGTTACTTGTAATAAATCCATACAGGCAGTTATTAAATGAAAGAGAAAAAAGCATAATCAACTATAGATTTTTTAAATGTGATTTTATATTTGTTTGGAATGTGATATTAACTTTATTTAATAAAGCTTTTTTCAAAAAAATCTTATATTTTACCAAAAATAACCAGAACATATCTTTCAGATTGAAATGCCAGGTGACATCTCTAATGGTCAGTTTTCCAAACAGAAAATGAAATGAAAGATAAAATTGCTAATAAAATTTTGATAAATAAAATATTAACATTACTTTTTATCAAGTTATGCAGAAGATAGATACACAAATATCAGTTTTAGGTGACATGCATTAGATTAGAAATTAAACTTTCTTCTATTATGAGATAAATGTGGCAATAATGTGCTAATTTAAATAATTTTTTGATTTTTTTTTCTCCTAGAAACATATTAATCATTTAAAATCCATCTTATATAAAATATTTGATAGATGTGGGTATAGAGGACTGGATAAAAATGATTCAAAATCCTGAATCAGTTCAAATTGCAGCCCAATAAAGGCTGCAATTTGAAAAACTTGTAGACCTATAAATTCCCACTGTCATCCATCTGTCTTTCCTTAATCATAAGAATGGAGTTAGGTAGATGAAATTCCAAAACCAGATATAGAAACCTTAAGGGCAGGAGGCCCCAATTAACTATATATGAACTTCTGATGCAAACTGGAAGTCACGTTATTTCAATTCAAAATGTAATCCTGAAAGCAGTTAATAGATGACTGTCATGACTCCATTGTTATGATATACAGGGGCAAGACACTACAGTACTTATTTGAGGAGGAGAACATATATTGTAAATTAAATAAATTAAAAATATGGTTAAAACCTGCAGCCTGGCATTGTAATGATGTCACAATAAATAATTGCTCGTTATAATGTGTGTCAAAACATAATTACCTGTAATGAAATTATTTTTAAAACATTGCATTATCTCTCTAACTTAACTAAACATAGTATTTGTTTATATTTTAAAAAATTCCTGTATAGAACTGTTTCAAATCATTTGAACTGATTCAAATCAGCAATAATTCATTTCAAGTATTTTAAAATTATATTTTAATATAATATATAATTAAATTGAATTAAATATAATAATAAAAATAAGTTGCTGATATTTTTTATGCTTTTAGTGGTCCTGAAAATCTGTACTGAAAACATGATTATGAATATAATTAGGAAATTTCCAATAGTAATTCGAACACAAATCAGTTATTGTATTTATTCAGACACTTGGCAAATCTCATCATTAAATTTTATTCAGTTGATATTATCACATTTAAATCAATTTAACAATACCAAAATTTACATACTCGTCTTTCATCTAAATCGAAGACAAACATATTCTGCCATATTTTTTAAACAATAAATACAATAATTGATTTGTGTTCGAATTACTAAAAATTACTGGCACTGTTTCAAAAATACCAAATTTTCAATAATTTAGTAACCAACTTGAGCTTTCAATTATTTGTTTGTTATGATTAACTTAAACCAATAATAACATTATTTTTTAATGAAATTGCGTGTCTTTTACATTTCAATAGTTTTTTACAAAACTATTTTATTTTCATAAAAATTTGTAATTTCTTCTAAATAAATATTTCTAAACTTATAAAATTAGTATAATGTAGAGCATATATAAAAAAAACATGTTATAAAAAATTTTTTTAACTGTTTCTAATCTGAGGACACAAAAGATCTTTTAATATGCCCATTAATCTAAAAATATAGATCAGTAATGGTGTAGCTGGATGGTGAGGGACAGTGCAATATGTATGGGATAACTACTCATAAAACTTTCTGAAGATTAACTTAGGTTCAAATCCTGGTCCTTCAGAATAGCAAGCATATATCTGAACCCTCTTACTTATTTTTCTAATTAATAATTAAGTAATTATCCAAAATTAAATTTCAAAATTCAACAGCTTCTGCATCTATGAATTAAAAGTTTAATTTGGTAAATTGAGTATATCTTAGTTGAATTTTATGATACATTGCCTAAATAAAATTGATAAAACATTTCATTTTATCATTTTTTATAATGGAAGATCATCAAATGTTAAGTTTAAAGCTATTTCAGAATTTAATTAAAATGCCTCAATGTCCTTGACTTACTATAATATATAAATTTTTGTCTACAAGTACATATTTTCTAATATCAGGACTTATTATACTGGCTTTGCAGATAATGCTACAGAGTTTCATAGAAAACAGTTTTTGTTTTATTTGATATACCTGGACACATACATAATACTGCATTTCGAACTCTTTCGTCCCTCCTTAATGTACTACAAAAATACCTGCTGAGGCGGGACAAAAGAGTCTGAAACACATATTATGTATGTGTCCAGGTATATTAAATAAAACAAAAATTGTTTTCTGTGAAACTGTGTAGCATTATCTGTAAAGCCAGTATAATGTCCTGATATTAGAAAATACGTACTTGTAGACGAAAATTTATATACTATCCCAGAATTATTAGTCTTTAGCAAATAAAAAGAAAACTTTGCTTTTAACTTTTATTAAATTTTCACAAAAGTTTGAGTTGAAATAATTTTAATTTCACTAACTAATAGAAAAAACATTTAGGCAAAATCTGAATTAATGAAAACAGGATTTCAATTTTTTTTCTGTTATGCTATCTCTTACAATAAAAATTGAACCAAATAAAAAATGTAAAATCTTTGTAAATATATTAGCCTTCCAGCAATTGGCAGTTTTCAAAAAATTCATGGTGTTTTTTGAATAAAAGTGAATAAATGCCTTTTTTCTACTATAAACAATTATTATATTTAAAAATATTCTGAAGGTATTTAGAAAGAAAAAAAATGTAGAATTATTTTAATATTGAAGATTTGAATATATTCCATCCATATTAACATATATACAGTAAGTCCTCATTTAAAGTCATTTCATTATAGCATTGTTGAGGAAAGATATAAGTACAGTTGTAATCATTTACAATTATCATTGGCAAATTTTCTTTCTAAACAGTAAAATTGGTTCTATGAGGTGGGAAATAAATGTTGGATGCAAACACAATTTAATTAGAATAATAACTGATTCATATGTTGCTAATATCAATTAGCCAATGGTAAAATTTGTTTGGTTATTTGGCATTTTTGCTTGACATCACAGCTTTCAAGAACCTATCGACTATGCTAAGTGAAGACTTGCTGTATATTAATTATATTTTAATATATATATAAATATATATATAATATATAATACCAGTGTCTATCAATATATATATAATATACCAGTATGTGTATATATGTATACTGGTATATTGTATTATATATATTAATATCAGGTCATCAAGGATGAAATTTGTGGAAAAAAGGCAAAGTTGGTTGATAACTTACAAATATAAGGAATTATTTTATTCATCAAAGTATGCACCCATATTGTCTATACACTTTTGCCATTTAAGCGGCAGGTTGTTCAAGCTGGTGGTATAAAACCATGGTGGATGAGAGTCAATGAATTCCTAGAAGGCCAGTTTTACAGCATTGTCGGAATTAAATTGTTTTCCTATTAGAAAGTTGTCCAAATTGCAGAAGTGATAGTCAGTGGGGGCTAGGTCTGATGAGTATGGAGGATGATGATGAAGTTCCAACTCCAATTCCTGTAGTTTTGTCACAATCATTTAAGCAGTGTGTGATCTAGCATTATCATGCAATAAGATAGGAGTTGATCTGTTGACCAGTCTAGGCCAATGTTCCACAACCTTTTTCTACTTGCGGCACACCCATGACTCAACTTGGCATACAAAAATGTTATTCCCCTCAAAAACATATGATATGATACCTATTAATAGAATTACGTAATGCCACTAACCTGTTATTATTATTTAACAGACATCAACACCTGTGAGCAAATTTATTTTATATATAATTTCTTAGAATACATAAAAATGCATGGCTTGTAATTAATAATAAACAATCATCATCTTATTTCATCAGTGCTGCGGCAGAGAATAAAATACAAGCATAAGAAACTCAACAACTGTGATAAAAATATATAAATAAAACTTGAAATTAACAGAAAATGTAAAACGAATATGAATATGTAAAATTAACAGAATATGTTCGTGTTACACCTTTTGCCATGTGACGGCACACTGGTTGTGGAACACTGGTCTAGACTGTTTTTCGTTAAGTTTTTGCATCATTTTGTCCAATTGGTTGCAGTATATTTCTGCTGTGATCAATGAGCCAAGTTTCATGAAATAATGGATCACACCTGTGCTAGACCACCAAGCACTCACCGTCAGCTTCTTTTGATGAATATCACACTTTGGAGTGTGTTTTGGTGATTCGTCCTTGACCAACCACTGTTCTGAATGTTTGCGATTGTCATATTGGATCCATTTCTCATCACAAGTGACAATTTGATTCAAAAATGGATCAGATTTATGATGAGAAAGCAACATCAAGCAAACTTTAAAACGCTTTTTCTGTTTTTCATTCAGTTTATGTGGAACCCACTTATTCAATTTTTTCACTTTACCAATTTGAGCTAAATGAGTTAATATTGTTTGTTTGCTAATGCCAAACTTCAACAATAATTCATAGGCACTCTTAGATGGGTCAGACTCAATGGTTGGCAATGTTATTACCTACAGATTTCATCCTTGATGACCTAATATATTAATACTGTTAATGTTTTTAAATTTACAAAATTTAAGAAAATTTTTTAAGTAGACAATACATAAAAATGTGTCTTCTCACTTTGTCCTTTTACATGCACACGAGGAAAATAACAGTTCCACAGCAGAGTTGATCCTTCATTTAAGGCTACTCATTTGCCTCAATATGTAAAACATTAAAAATTTCCTCTGGAGACAGTACAATTAAAAAATAAATACATTTGAGAAGACACATTTTTATGTATTGTCTACTTCAAGAATCTTCTTAAATTTTGTAAATTTAAAAATTTTATGTCTTGGCAGTTTTTATCAACTGTTAATGTATTATACATTTTTAAACTTCAGTTTTTTTATCTGTAATTAAAATTTCAGACATAAAAATGATGAAAGTTTTGAATACAGAATTTTTTTTTATAATTATCAGGTAATAGACATGGTCTTCTAGTTCCAAATACAACTACTGATCAGGAACTTCAGCATTTAAGAAATTCTCTTCCAGATTCTGTAAAAATACAGAGAATAGAAGAAAGGTTATCTGCTTTAGGGAATGTTGTTGCTTGTAATGATTATGTTGCTCTGACACATCCTGATCTTGATAGGGTATTTTATTTTTTCAAATAGTTTTCAAAATAATTCAAATAAATAAAATTTTTAATATTTTTATTTGTATATTTAATAATTTTATTCATAATAGTTTTAATATTTTGTTTATTTTTAAATAGGAAACTGAAGAAATAATAGCTGATGTACTGAAAGTTGAAGTATTTAGACAGACAATAGCAGATAATGTTCTTGTTGGAAGTTATTGTGCTTTAAGTAATCAAGGTGGCTTGGTAAGTACCCTTTTAATATACCATTATTTGAAAATTCTTACAGAAATAAGAGGATAAGATTATATTTATTTTTCAATTTATGCCAATATTGAAATTTAGTTATGTTGCAATCTCAATTTAAAAATTGAGCTATTATTATTGCATTATTTTTATTTGGTAAGAAAAAATGCAAAACCTTCCACAGTGAATAAACATTTATTTCATAACATTTTCTTATCAAATCCATTCACTAGACTCATCTTCAGGATTAAGAAAATGAAAATAGAATTCTAAATAATACAGTATACTCTTATGTGGGTGGATTATCCATGCTTGCTTACATCTTGATAAAAATTTATGTCAGGAATACAAATACAGTCACTTCTTGACTTATGACAAAAAATTTTTTTAAATGTATCAATTTTTTATAGTTTTCATCAAATATATATCATATACAGTATAGCATCGATTATCCAAATGTCAATCAACCTAAACTTCGGTTAACTGAAAGCATTCCATTCGGTCTGTGTCATGCTGAATTGAACGTTTTTGATACTAGATTTACTTCTAAAGTATAATATTTTTTTTTTTGTTTCTATAGTTTTCAATATATTTATTTTGTTTGTACTGTACAAAATAAAGAAATAATTTTTAATGATACAACACGATTATTATTATAAAAATTAAGTGGCAGGTTGTTATTATAAAACCACGATTATTATTATAAAAATTTTTGTTAGGTTTAACGTCAACAAAAAATTAATGTGAAGCGACATGCAATGGAGAAAAATTTAAACATGGGATATATTAATATGCTATTATTGGGATATACTAATAAACTATATCAATAATGTATTTTTTTGTACATAATCGGTTATCCAAAAAATTTATTTTCTGAACAACCCCAGTCCCCAATTCATTCAGATAATCGACATTCTATTGTACAAGTATATCTTGCACACTTCTGCAATCGATTGCGTCATCTTTAGTTTTGTTGTGCACTTAGCATAGTTACCCTTTGCATGTGCTTGTGTAAGGTGGCTAATTGTTTTGTTATACAGTCACTTCTCGACTTACGTCCAAAATTGTGGAACTGAACCCTGTCATAAGTTGAGAAGTGACTCTATTAGCATTAAAATTAAAAAGATCTGTGTTGCTATGTATAATGGTATATTGAGCATTTGAACTACTTCCAGAAAGTCCAGGCATAAATTAAATGGCCTAACAAGTACAATAAGTGCAGTCGATTCTTGAACAATATGGTTTTATTTATGTGTATATTGGTTTTTTTCTCCATTGAATAAGTTGTAAAATTATTTGAAGAAAATATTTGAATTATTTCCTTGTCAATAAATCATTATTATTGCAAAATTAATGATGTTTTATGATGATCTAGCTGACAACCTTCATTCTTGGTTAATAATACAAGAAGTTCATAGTGCAAGGTGCTTCAATAAATTTTTCTGAATTTTCTGTGTATGTTGAAAGTTTTATTCAACTCTGATCACATCTAAAGCTTATTAATTAATTGTCATTCTCAAAATATATTTTTTTCATAATATATAACCTATTATGCTAAATTTAATATGAAGTTAAAAACTAAATAAAAGAAATAAGTCTGTTTTAATGAAAGCTCATTGATTTAATGATTTTCATCAAAACACTTATCTATACAAAGCAGATTATGCATGTTTCTTCAAAGCAGATTATGCAGGAGCCAAAGGGGGAGAAATTTAAAAAATGTAATTAATGATAATATGCGATATATATTGTCATCGTCTCCATTGCCGTCTGGACTGCTGAGTAGTAACAATCAGTGTCATTTGGGAGCAGTTGAGTCAGTGATACATGCCTCGTTTACAAACAACACAACCCATTTATTAGACAATTTACTTATAAAAAGTTCTATAGTCACGAAAGATTGAAGTCCTTGTATACTTCAGCACATAGTCTTCAAAGAAGAAGAAGAAAGTCCAATGATGAAGGTGGTTTCCTTTTGCTGACCAATGTTGCATTCTAAGACAAGTTGTCAAACAGGAAACAATGTCCAGTGAATGCAGATCAGAATTTCTGAAGTTTCTCTCATTGAAGGTCTATAACTTTCAGAGGATACATTGGCTAAGGACGGAGGTGGAACCTTGTGAGAAGCATCCCAGCCAGGGACATAGCCTCACGGGACACCACGGCAAAGAACCAAGTATCCATGTGGCCTGGGCTTAAATATCTTTTTGTCTCGCAAATTGTTACTTTATTGGTTATTAATCCCCTTTCTTGGTCCCATACTTTTCAATTACCAAGCCAAATTGTGCATAAGCCACAAATATTTTGTATATTTCATAATTACAAAGAGTAAGCATATTTCAGTTATTTATAAGTGATGTGTCAAATATGTTTATGGGCTGGATTTGGCTTGGGGCTGCAGTTCATACATTGCTGGTCTAATGAATAGGTTGAGAATGTTCTCAAATAAATATTTATTCACTGTAAAAGGTGTTGCATTATTTCTCCTTGTAAAATTGCAGTGAGTTATATTTTCTCATCCTATGTAATCACTGATAAAACTTTAAATAGTCTGAGTGTACATGTAACAAATTTATTGAAACTTTACTGTGATATTAAACAGCTATAAAATACATGCATCAGGTAAGAAATACTTTTTTTAATAATAAATAAAAGGTGTTTCTAATCACACTATCTTTAGCTTACAATCAGACTTAAAATTTTTGGAACAAAGTTAAGAATACAGAATATTTTTAAAAAACCTACATCAAATATCTTAAAATAGAACATTGATTTTTAACATTAATATTTTAAATATAAGTTATAAGTTTAACTTGTAAGTTTATCATCATCTCATCATTCAAAATAAAAGAAGAAAAAGATTGTTTTTTATTTTCTCATAGTCAATTTATTTATTCTGTAATCTTTATTTAGTTACTTTTCCCAAACTTTTAGTAATAATAAGCTTTTTATAATTATCAATTATTAACTTAATAATAGTCTTTATCTAATTAAAGACTTAAAAGTCAGGTTATTTAAAGGCTAAAATGGTGTTATTTATAAACCAATCTAATTAATTAATTAATTGTATAATTTACACACACAATTAATAATGTAAAAATTAATTTTGAATTAAGTAAATTATGGCAGTTTTTATTTTTGTAACATCAGAATCAATCTTTGAAAATTCATGTTTGTCTGTTTTCTATTTAGTGCTAACATTATTTAAAGTGTTAAATGCATTGAAATGTATGTATTCACTATAAAAATACTAAAACTTTCCTTCTTTAATGCATTTAATAGGTACACCCAAGAACATCAATTCAGGATCAAGATGAATTATCGTCATTACTTCAAGTTCCTTTAGTTGTAAGTATAATACTTTTTTAAATTATAGTTAAAAATTATAAACTGAAAGATTCTTGATTTATAAATTATAATTTATCAAATTGTACAGTAACATGTTGGAAATTGCATTACCTATGGTATATATCAAAAAGCATTCAACAGATCTGCAAAGTAGAATATTTTAGATGTGATTGTGATTTTTAATGAAACCTATGTAAAATAGAGAGGAAACCAAGAAGATTCAATCAACAAAATGAAAATTATTGTACATAATATTATATCAAACATAAGTATTATGTCACACCAGAGCCTCATCAGTATTGTTAGTGAGCATTATCATGAGAACTTGCCATTCATGGTTGTGGAAGTAAAAAGGTTCATAGCATAAGTAAACTTGAAAAACATAACATGAACAGTTATTTCTTGTTGAATGGAATTCTATTATTTCATAAGGCCAACTTAAACCTTAATAATAGCTTTGCAGCACTCCAGTGTAGAGTGGATGACTTTTTTAAGTATTCTATGACAAGATTGTGCTACTAAACTTTTCTAATACACTCAGTTGCTTTTTACTTTCAGGCCTGTGTTAATGCTCATAACATGCTAGCAATTTTCTATAGATCAGGACTGTTGTCTTGCTAACTTAGGTATCTGCTCTAGGACTCTTGTAGGTACATTTTTACCTAAACAGCAATTTTTTTTGTTATTTAAATGAAAATAATGCTAATAAACTGTAGAGAAAGGGCACATAATAATTTATTCACTATCTTGGTGTGGTGACTTGGCACAGTGTCATCCTGGAAGATGTAGGATTTTGTGTCACAAAATTCTTCCTTGATTACTGAAATTAGTTTAATGTTTTTGACAAACTGCATTTACAGACCCATTTATAAAGTGTCTGCTTATACTTTTACTAAGTACACATTCTTACACTATTTGACTCATTGGAAACTTTATTGTCTGCATCAAACAACTTCTGCTGTAGAGTTTGCCTCTTCTATGCCTAAGATAGTTTGTTGTCAGGTCCATGCAGGTTAAATTTGCATTAATCTAAAAATATAACAGAATCCCAAATGTCAGCACACTAGTTTGCATGTTACTTAGCCAAGATAAATCCCTGTCTGTACATTTTAGTTGTCAATAAGGGCTTATTATACAGATGGTAAACTTTAAATCCATATTGCATAGATCACATTAAATAGTTCTTGCACTCACTTCTATGCCTACCTGCTCTTCCCACTTTACTTTCATTTGGAAGTAATGCAGTATGTTCTCCATGCTAAGACACTTCATTATTCTCTCCTGGCATGGTATACTTGCACATTTAGCTGCTGATTCAGCATTTCTTTCAGTATTGCCATGTTTAAGTTTCCTTTGCAATAATTTTTGATTGATGACAATACACTTTCTGTGCTATTTAAAATGTGAATAAACTTCAGCATTCAAAGTAACAATTACTTTTTACACAGTATTAACTGTGAAACTTTTCATTTTACTTATACTAGTACACCACCTTCCCATAGGTTTTTATATTAATGGATGATACATTTGTCAGAAACATTGCTGCAGTAGACCTTGTCATCTAATGAGAAATGTTTTCATGTTTATGATGCCACGAATGATGAATATTTTTGTTTTTTTGCAGGTTTGCAGCAAAATGATACTTTAATTTAAAAATCGAGCAACATTTGGTGTTGTCATCTGTTATGATATTTTCTTTTTGTGTCAATTCTGGCCATCTTTGGACCATGTACAAACAACTAATTATGACTTGCTTTTCCCTCTTTCCTTCCCTTTGTTCTTTTTTTCTTCCCAATACCTCTTCATTCTCTTGCTCTGCTGTTGTCTTTGCTCCTGAGTGAAGATCCTTATGATATTTTATTTAAAAAATTTTTATATTTTTAACTATTACAAAATGGTAGTAAGCTTAATTTTCAGGGTAGGGATGGATTTTATAAAAAATTGTAAATGCTAACCATACTGAAAATACATCTTCTTCACTACTTCATCTCCCCACCCCCTTGACCTTTAGTTACCAAAATTTAATAGTATCAATCTCTCTAATAAACAAACCTCCCTGCAAAATTTCAGAAATTTTTGACAAAAAGCACAGGAGTTATTAAGCTTCAAAGAGGTTGAACAAAATTGTGCCCCCCCATACACACACACTAATATTTATACGTACAGAAATTATCTCTGAATGTTTTTGCATTTCTTGACATTTCAATGTCTCGAGTCCAAAAGTAAAAATCTGGGGGTAATTGACTGATTTGCCATACTTTCCCTCCATTATATATAACATCTGGGAAAGTAAAAATAAACACATTTAATAGAATTTTATGAATGGTGCAATTTATGTTAGTTGCCTCTGTATATATGAAAAATAATAAAACAAACAATAATAATATGATATGTACTGATTGTCATATCAGTACATACATTCTTTGAACAAATTTTAATACTGTCATACCTCATTACTTGAAACAATTTAATGAAGAGAGTTATGAAGAAATGTTTTTAATCATTCCATATGGAAAATGTTCTAACTCATCCATCTGTTTCAATGACAATAAAATACTGCACAAAAACTCATTTACATATAAAATATAAGATTTTAACATGATATTAAATGTTACAAATTTTAATTATCTTATTAACTAATATAATACTTAATGAGGTCATTAAAGAATATGTTTGTAAGCAGTAATGCAATGAATAAGTTTGTATAGTCCTCTCTGTATTAGAATATGAATTGCTTTTTCTTTAGTATGCAGTAGAAGCAATGAAAATGAAATGCTATTTATTAGATTGTACTGATATTTTATGATAAAAATCATTAAACTGCACTAATGTTATATATGTAAAATGAAAACAGAAACCAGAAAAAAATTTTCTTTCTACTTCCAAGTTTTACTAATCTGAGATTCAACCTAGATATTTAATTTTATTCTTTGGAAATTTTAATTCTGTGTGGTCTTAAAACGAGAAACACTCCAATAACAGATCCATGAAGTTTTAATCCATTCATTATGAAGTCAATTCCTCCATCGGAAAATGAAGGAAATGACTATCTAATTTTGCTAGACATGCTAAAATACTATTTTTCTTCAAAATTTGTAGTAAATAATTTAGTGTGAGATGCACACATGTTGTTTATGAAAGGGGAAACATTTTGTCACTTTTATGACAGAAGGGAAGTTGAATTTTCCTTCACACAAAGTTGGGCGCCCATCTAGATGTCCACCCCCTTTGTACTTCCCCGAACATCCTGTTGACGTACCAAGAACCCTTCATTTTGATTGGTTCAAAACATATGAATAAGGCGATCCATTTCCTGCAATTGAGGAGTTCTCAAGAGGTTATGAAGTGTAACAGACCTCCTAAAGATTTCCACAAGGTCCTGCCTCATTTTATTTTGTGCACCTCTATTCCCTGGAGATCCTCCTCCATCCATCTCCAATCACATCAAAAATACTCATTGTTGATCCTGTATCTTAAGACCGCATCACTGACTAGAATAACAAGTTCAAGTCGAGGTAGTATAGTCAATTATTGTAAACTCTCTCTCTCTCCGTGAGATTAGGTAAGAGGTGTAGGACATATTGTATCTCTGTAGCTTGGTTTTGTTGTCTATTAAATTTATTGTTGCTTTATCATGGTCTCCTCAATGACTCGAGAACACATCAACGTATTATCCTGAATCTACGTACCCTCCTCACTCGTCAGTGTTAATTAACGTGTGATAGGGCACAATTCATCCCTATTTGGTGTTGGGAGTCCGACAAAAGGAGAAGATGATCTCCGGATTGTCTAGTCTCCACTTTCCTTGGTTAACATTTCTAATCATTTAATGCCATTCTACGATGCTGTGGACAAGCCTTCCAAACTTGACCACCGATTAAGTGGTATTAAGAGTGATAACAAACTCTATACCCCTGGCTAACCTCACCTTAGCATAACTTTTCACTTTTTTAATAAATGCACATCAAAAGTATGTGTAATGCTTAGTTCACACTGAGCGAATAGCAAAAGTGAATGAGAAAAGCGAAAAATGATTTTTATTCACATAGAGAAATTGACTCATACAACCAAAAACAAAAAGCGATTGTGAATTTTAAAGAGCCAATCATTTGCAAGTGATAGAAAACATTGAATTATTATCATCTCAAAAAAAAAAAAAAAAAAGGCTGCTTCCAATATTTCATTGTTAACTACATTTATTTATTTATTGAGAAAGAAAGATATTTCAAAAAGAAAATGATGCTGGGTGAGAAGAATATTAAAAATCCATAGTTACAACATTTACTCTGTTGCGTGTAGGGTGGATATACATAGGGACTAATAGAGCTTAAGTTCTGGGCCCCAAGTTTCAGGGGCCCACAGAAATTGAATTATCATCATAAATTTTTAATACTTTTTCATTAACAATGAGCACTTATTGTGTAGTAAAAAATAGTTTATTATTATTATATTATTACCCTATTTGTTTTATTGTAAATGGGGCCCCGTTAAACTTCAATAAGCCCTAGGCCCTGAGAAACCTAGATCCACCCTGGTTGCATGAGAAAGTTTCTGTAGCCATCTTGAAAACAACAAGAACCAGTGACAACTAACAGGAATACAATTGGTGGTGAAATTTTTTTTGCTAGCAAAAAAAACTCTTCAGTTCTGAACTTCAAAACAATTTGTGAAATAGTAAAATTCACCATAAACGACATCACATCTGACGTGTTATTTGCTCTGCTTTTTGCTTCCACCAGCAAATTGTGCTCAGTGTGAACTAAGCTTAATACTGAGAATACAAATTTCTCTGAAGATTTGTACCAAAAAACATCGTTTTAGCAGGAATTTTGGTACACAGTGTTCAGCTATCAGAGTAGGGCTGTAGTTCTATCATAAGTATCATATATAAAAACATAAATGTGAAAAAATTAAATATTTAATAGGAAATTGACAATAACTCTTTTAATTTCACAGAGCGTCAAAAAATTTCAATATAAATGTAATATCATATAAAGATTTAATTCAGGAATTTTAATGTGTTTTTTCTATACAGTGTATCTAATACTTAATGCTAGTCTTTACAGTGGCTAATATTTGAATTCAGTTGATTTAGATGAGTTTATTGAGTGTAATAATTGAATAAATCATCCTATATTAACATTATTTTATAAACAGCATTAAATTTGTCATTACAACTATATTGCATGGAGATATTTTGTTACACTATGTTAGTTTATGCATATGATGTTTATTAATTATAATAATAAAAGTATGAATTTTGTATTTGTTACATTTTAAATATTTTAAGTTTTATTGATAGCTGTTGAAACAGATTAATTCACTTGGTAGAATAGAAATGATTTCTTAGTAGTAAAATATATTCGAATATATTAATTTTTGTAATATAAAAAGATAATCACCAGTTATTATGCATTTGATTTGGCAGACTCATCTATATTTTCATGTATTCAAATATTTATAAATCAAATACATATGTCATACATAAGTCATCCTGTTGTAGATGGAGAACTGACTTTATTTGGACAAAAAGTAGTCACTGAACTCCTGGATGATAAGATTACTTTTGGAAAGTTTGATTGCATTTGCATATACTATTTTCAAATGCACATACAGCAAGCTTGGGACTGGAAGTGGTCCAGATTTCTGGTTTTTCAGTTTTCAGTACATGGTCTAAATATATACTTTAAATATAAAATAAGCAACAGAAAGTTAAGAATAGTAATTTGTATCTGTTAAATACAATTTTACACTTCTAAAGCAGGGTCTGTCTGATCATTATTAATCCTCTTAAACTATATAATACCATGCATAGTGTAATATTTAAGATGAAAATTAAATGAAGAAAAGTAATGAACATAATGAAACTGGTCATACCTCTGATTCTGTGGTGTACATGTCATGCAATATATATGTTACTGTGAATGACCAATATCTGGTGAATGTCAGCATTCACACAGTTGTTTCGTGTATGTACAAAATATTTGCTAAATATCATTATTTCTCACTTACACCGGCAAATTTCAACATTCAGCATGCACTGAATGTTGAATAAAAATATTTTTATTATGTTAAGACAAAAATGCAACTTTTTCATATGTCAAAATAGGAGAAAGCTTAAGTAATAGCACATGTAAATAAACTGTTGAACTTAAAACGAACAGTATATTCTAATCATTAAAGAAAATAATACAATAATAAACTTACACATAAATTATGTGATTAACGTTATACAATCTTATTTATTGCAACAACTTAAACTGTTATGGCACTTTGAATTGCACAAGAGTCCCTTGCTTTTACAACTACATTTATTCATGGAACACTTTTTTTTTGCAATGACAGTGTGTATAGCCTTGCCTTCCAACAAAGCAGTCATGTGACAAACTATAGTTAACTTTTGTAACTTCATTTTTTCCTATTCAGTTTTTTATATACTGTATATAATTTTTATTATTTTAGGCAGGAACAGTCAATAGAGGAAGTGATGTCATAGGAGCAGGAATGGTAGTAAATGATTGGATAGCTTTTTGTGGAATGGATACAACAAGCACAGAATTATCAGTTGTTGAAAGTGTTTTTAAATTAAGTGAAGCACAACCATCTGCAATCACAAGCAACATGAGAGCATCTCTAATTGAAAGGTATTTTTGAAATAAAAATAGCAAGAAGTTTATTTTATTTTATGTGGCTAACTAATTTTAAATATTCATACATAAAAAATTCTAATTTCTTTATTATTTTCTTTTCAGTATGGTTTAAAGAATTAAATGATTCTCATCAAAACTGTAAAATTTTCAGAATAATTTGGATACTAAATGAGTCAGAAATGCTTCTGTTTGCATATTGTATGTATGTATTTCTTCACGTTGAAAATATGTACAATGTGTATATTGCATGCAATAAATTTGTGTTTTAACTTTGGATTTCTTTTTTTTGTATAATTTTATTATATTTGTTTTTATTCAAATTTTTTTCAAAGCTGCACATACAGTGTGTGGCAAATTAACCTGATGGTTTTTAAATTAAAATAACATAAAAGTTATGTAAGTATGCTAAATATATTTATCATCATCTTGTATCTTAACCTCAAAGAATTTAACACAGGATTTGTAAATAATCACTTTTTGAATATTGTATCTGTGAAGTGGTGCCTGTTGTCTGCACATTCTTGCAATCATTTCCTAAAACTTTGTATGACTTTCTGCAATATTTCATGGGAATTGCTGCCACTTCATTCTTGATGTCTGCTCCAACTCTGCCACAGGTCTTGAATTGTTCTTAGTGTCAGCCATTGTTCCCATCCCTTGAAATCAGATTCTGGTATTCAACATCAAACTGGCACAACTTTATTTAAAGAAGGTTGTGAAGCATTTCGATGTAGCAAGCTGAGTTTACTGTCAGTCCTGCCTCATTTATCTTAAAGAAATATGAAATGATTGGCCAATCATTCCTAAAGTTGCTACACCACACCAAGCAATAATCTTAATACTAAAGATTGCTGATGTAACTCAGGATTCTCTTAAAATGTATTTTTATTTTACACTAATTTCAATTGTTACTAAATGGCTGTGAGTTAAACAGCATGTGTGCCTAACATCATTCCCTCCACCCCGTAAGATTTAGGTGTGAGCCATATTTAAAAGCTGTAAGGTTAATCTGCCTCACTATATAATCAAAATCATAATTATTCATATAACTATTAATTTATAATTCTGACAAAAACCTTTTAATAGATTATTGTAGGAATATAATATATTTGTACTTATAAGAACACACTAAGACTTAATGAAAGTTTTAATATGATAATGGAACTTTATTTTAGATTTTAATTCATTCATTAAAAATGATAAATTCAACTTAAAATTAAAAATAAAAACTTGCAATCACATTTTAAAGATGAAATGTTCAGCTTAAAATATGAAAATTTTGTTTCCATCAAATCATGCATCTTGTTTCTAGTATTTTAAACAAAATAGTCTGACAAATTCAAAATTATAATTTATTTTTTATATTTCCTTTTCTGGTATGTGCCACAGCCACTAATTTTACAAAAATTTTCGGAAATGGAAGTAAGTCATAGAGATTTGTGTTCATAACAAAAACGTAAGATGTCTTCTGTACAATGCCAGTTTCAAGTATACATGATGAGTCAAAAATCCCTTGCACTCTATTCCAGAAGTACCAAATAATAATAATTTTGTTAATATAGTTACATAGGAAGTCATGAAAGGAAAATCAGATTGAACCTTTTATGTTGAATTAAGTTGTAACTTATTAATGAGCAGGTAACGTTAAAGTTGCAATGATAAAACAGTGGCATATTAACCCATGGGCAAAAAAGACAGTTGCCTGGGGTCCCAAACCAATTTTTTATAAACTCATTCCTATAGTAAGAATATCGAAATTTAAATTTGTCGCCATATCTGGGGATAATAGATTGCCTGTGTGGTACAGAACGCACTGGCGCAACGCAGTCAAACAGAAAGTAATATGGCTGATTGCTGGTGTCAACGTGTATGCTACAAGTGTATTAACTATTAAATGTATAAATTTCACACGTTTTTGAATAAATAAAACAAGAATATTTGAAGTAGGTACTAGGTATTTTATTATTAGAATATTTTATTTTAATTTAACATGATTTGGTACAATGAAATTAAACAAATTTAAATGGTGATTTTCTTTAATTTTTCTTAATTTGCGAAGTGTTTTCCTTGTATATTCAGTTATTGTTTTACTTATGGAAAAACGATTAGACGATTAAGAGTACAGAATAATTATGCATTATAAATCTAAAGAAAAATATTTTAGAACGTTGAAAAGAACGTACTAATCAGGGTTTCAAAAAAGAATTAAAAATTAGAGAAGTGGAATTTAAAAAAAAAAAAAACCTCTACAACATGTTATTGCGATTAAAATCTAAGAGAGTCTAAAAATAACAGCAGCATCACCAAATAAAATAGAACAGATAATATACCTTCACTTCTACATTATCACCAGATGTCATTACCACAGACAGCAGTCTATACAGTATGATGATACCAAACACAATAAAGATATTGCTTTATGGCCAAAACCCATCACGACTGGCTTTATTAAGTTTTGCCTTTGTGAAAAAACGCAAAATTTTGGCAACAAAAATCCAAAGCTGAATACAGACGATACGTAGCCTACGTTATAATACAGGCATGTGCGTCTAGCTTAGGACGCGTTCGTTAATAACGGTCGCTTCGCGTCTCCGCCATTACGGGCGTGCGCTGCTGTTTGAAGGCATTTGGGATCGACAGTGAAAGAAAAAGATGGCGTTGTTCGTACCGTAGCTATCGATAGTATCGTGAAGGAGGAATCTACGATTTTAAAATATGCATTCTTTAGAGACAAAACTTAAAAGAAGGGTTCTAATTGTAAAATTTAACCATTAGATAGACTTGTCTGGCCGAGAAAGCATTCAAAGTAGCCACGGAACCAGAACGCGGGCTACCATTCGAAAAATATTCGAGATTGAATTTTATCATCGTGTGCACTAATGTGCGCTTTCATTCCTAAATTTTCATTCATAAAACCACATAATGGATACTGAAAGGAAACTATCTGAGCCATGGAAGTTGCTTTCCAGCGTAAACTACTACTATAAGAGGACGCTTTTGCCATCTGACGGTGTGCATTCAAGCTGGAATGTAAGAACGCGTTCTACAGGAATTTTTAAACAGATGCCGCTAGCGCAGAGTTACACGGAAGAATAAAAGAACGAGCACTTAGAATAGCGTTAGTGGAAAGTTTTAAAAATTTGACGCTAGAGGTCGTGATTACGAACTGAATTATTTTGTTTTCGTTAGTGCTTACACGTGTGTTCTTTTTCTTCAACCATTGAGTCGTGTACAACTATTGGTGACTTCATAGACGAGTTTCCTCCAGCGAGTTCTGTGGAGTGCCCAGTCTTTCAGGGATTTGAGGTCCAGGTGGGTATCTGCTTTGATGTTATCAATCCACCTGGAAAAAGTTCGGCCACTCTTCTCCCGCGGAGATTAGTGGCCGAACTTTTTCCAGGACTGCTTTATTAGTTGTTCTAGCTATCCACGGAATTCTGAGAATCCGCCGCCAACACCAAAGTTCAAAAGCGTCTATCCTTCTATCGCTTTTTCTTACTGTCCAGCTTTCACAGCCGTAGGTTGTGATTGGGAACACAATTGCCTGGACCAGTCTGGCCTTACTGGATATTGTGATATCTCGGCTTTTCCAGATGTTCATTTTGGTTAGAGCGGTGCGGGGTTAGGGTAACCTTCGTTTGATCTCCTCTGTGCATTCTCCTGTTATGCTTAACTTTGAACTAAGGAAGATGAAGACATCCACAATGTCTAGTTCGAAGTCATTTATTGTCACTTTCCCATGCAGTTCACTGTCGTGATGACCTTGGTCTTTTGGATGTTTAGCTTTACGCCCAAACGGCCGGATGGCCGAGATGTCAAGATGGCAGCCTACCGCTCTGGGGAACCCGGGATCGAATCCGGACGGGTCGAAAAATTCCTGGGATTTTTCGGGGAGTCGTCTGACCGGACGGCCGGATGGCCGAGCGGTCAAGATGGCAGCCTACCGCTCTGGGGACCCGGGATCGAATCCGGACGGGTCAAGGAATCCCCAGGAATCTTTCAATGGTCCGTTCGAATATGTCGGACCTCGTCCCTCACCACCCGGTCGCCCCATTGTGGGCTTGGCCGAACCCACAATGGGCCTGCTATAAGAGGCCCTCTTAGTGCCCACAGGGCGGAAAGAGTAAAAAAAAAAAAAAAAAGTCGTCTGAACGGATATGTCGACCCCCGTCCCTTACCACCCGGCCGCCCCATTGTCGGCCTGGCCGAACCGATAATGGGTTTACGATAAGAGGCCCTCTTAGTGCTCACAGGGCGGAAAGAATAAAGAAAAAAATCTCGAAAACATTTCAAATAATGTACTTTTGAACTTGGAGGTTCCGCATTCAGAACCTGACGATAATTTGAATTCATTATTTATTTGTCTCATAAACTTTATTGGTTTTTCCTAATTTTTTAAAAAAAATAATTGCTTTCAGTAACAATATTAGTAGATATTACCGTTAACGTAATACTTTCACGTTAATTAACTAGTATTTGTAGCATGAAGATAGGGTACTGATGTTTTTGTGTTTACACAGCATATCATATAAGAAAAAGCATTTTTAAAGATTTTAATTTTCCTTTTTGTTTGTATATTATTAATAGTTTATCTTATTAATCCATGTTTAAATTATTGATATTATAAACTATTTAATATTTTTATATTTAAAACTGTATTGCGTATTTCATAATTTTATTTCCAGAATATAAACGCGAATGACGTCATGACTCGTCGCCATTAAACCACAAACTAATAAGATAAAAAAAAAACCTCTACAACATGTTATTGCGATTAAAATCTAAGAGAGTCTAAAAATAACAGCAGCATCACCAAATAAAATAGAACAGATAATATACCTTCACTTCTACATTATCACCAGATGTCATTACCACAGACAGCAGTCTATACAGTATGATGATACCAAACACAATAAAGATATTGCTTTATGGCCAAAACCCATCACGACTGGCTTTATTAAGTTTTGCCTTTGTGAAAAAACGCAAAATTTTGGCAACAAAAATCCAAAGCTGAATACAAACGATACGTAGCCTACGTTATAATACAGGCATGTGCGTCTAGCTTAGGACGCGTTCGTTAATAACGGTCGCTTCGCGTCTCCGCCATTACGGGCGTGCGCTGCTGTTTGAAGGCATTTGGGATCGACAGTGAAAGAAAAAGATGGCGTTGTTCGTACCGTAGCTATCGATAGTATCGTGAAGGAGGAATCTACGATTTTAAAATATGCATTCTTTAGAGACAAAACTTAANTTTTTTTTTTTTACCTTAATGAAGT